GGTGTGAAAAGAGTTTTGATTTGTTTTGAATTAGAGCAAGTATCTACGAGTCATCTACCTACCCTAAGGAATTAGTCTGTGTAAATGTCCTTAAGGTAGTGTCATCCCACCATTGAAAGGTAAGTAGCACCACCGTTGGAGGTGTTTGACAATGTTTATGAGCATATGGGACTTGATTGAGCCCTTGAAAACCTCAACTTCCTTGCAAGAACCAAAACCCTAATTTGACTGGCTTAGGAGGATGGTTGACTGTGTAGCCCTTGAGTAGACTTGAACCATTTGTGGATGATTCTTGTCAAAACTTTGAAGATTATGGGAGGGAAAATTTTGGGGTACAACAGCCACATGTATTATTTTATCCTTAGGTACCCATATTTTCTTGAGTCCTGATTTGTTAGTTTTACCAAAACTCTGGTTGAATTTTGGTTTGACAGAGTAACCACTACTTGTATATTTTATGTCATGTGTGTGCCCATATATAAAGTGTGAATCAAGTGGAGTACGTTTTATAACTAAATCCAAGGCATTTTTTGGTGTAGGTACCTTACCTTGATATCATATCCCTTTTCTGCCATTTCTGCTAACTCCATAGATCATTGAAGCCATTTTGCTTCTGTCTATGTTTTTAGCTAGAAACTTCTGAAAGCTGTGATCATACTCCTTGATGATCTCATCAGCATTGCTGGGAGTTTCAGGGATTGTTTCCTTCTGAGAGTTTTGCAATTGGTTTTCTAATTTTGAAATTTTATCTTTTAACTCAGAATTCTCCAATTTGAGACTCTCAGTCTTATCAGAGTCAGAAGCAAGATTCCTTTTCAGGTTTCTGAGTTTGACTCTGATCTGCTGATATCTTTCCAGAATTTCATTAAGGCTTTCAGCTAGTTCATCCTTAGTAAAGTTTATAGTGAAGTCAGGGAATACCTCTTCTGTGTCTGATTCAGAGTCTGAATCAGAAGCTTCACTGTCTTCTGTTATGTTTGCCATGAAAGCTATGTTTGCTCTTTCATCATCTGATTCGGAGTCAGCTTCAGATGTGTCAGAATCATCCCATGTAGCCATGAGACTTTTCTTCTTTTCCTTGCCAAACTTCTTTTTGGGCTTCTCCTTCTGAAGCTTTGGGCAATCACTTTTGTAGTGCCCTTGCTCGTTACATTCATAGCAGATGATGTCTTTGTTGTTTGGCTTTCTGTTTCCTGAAGAGCCTTCAGATCTTCTGTGTCCAGAGGAGGATTCTGACCTTCTGTATCTGGGGAAAGATTCATTCTGATTTTCTGATCTTCTGGGATTCCTGAACTTCCTTTGCCTCTGCTTCCACAATTGGTTCACCCTTCTGGAGAGGAGAGACAGTTCATCTTCTTCTGATGAGGACCCATCAGAGGTTTCTTCCACAGCCTGCAAAACTTTGGAGTCAGATTTTCTGTTAGATTTTAAAGCTAATGGCTTACCTTGCTTTTGAGGTTCATCTGCTTCTAGCTCTATCTCGTGACTTCTGAGGGAGCTGACAAGTTCCTCCAGAGAGATTTTGTTGAGATCCTTGGCTAGCTTAAGCGCTATGACCATTGGCCTCCATTGTTTTGGCAAGCTTCTGATGATCTTCTTAACGTGATCAGCAGTGGAATACCCTTTGTCAAGAACTTTTAGACCAGCAACAAGAATTTGAAATCTTGAAAACATAGTTTCTATTGATTCACTCTCTTCCATCTTGAATGCCTCATACTTCTGAATGAGTGCAAGGGCTTTGGTTTCTTTGACTTGAATGTTGCCTTCATGCGTCATTTTCAGAGAGTCAAACATATTTTTTGCAGTGTCTCTGTTTGATATCTTCTCATACTCTGAATAAGAGATGGCGCTGAGAAGAATTGTTCTGGCCTTGTGATGATTTCTGAACTCACGCTTTTGCTGATCAGACATCGTTTTCCTGTCAATCTTCTGACCACTTCCATCCACTGGGTGCGTGTATCCATCAGTCACCATGTCCCACAGATCAACATCATGGGCCAGAAAGAAACTCTCAATTCTGTCTTTCCAGTAGTCAAAGTTCTCTCCATCAAAGACTGGAGGTTTGCCACTGAATCTGTCTCTTTCTTCATTGTTGTCATTGCTGATGTTTTGATTTGGTCCTGCCATTGTGTTTTTCTGACGCTGGATCTTGTACTGACACTGTAAAGTGTTATAAGCTCAGAACCAGGCGCTCTGATGCCAATTAAAGATGTGAAAAACACAAGAAGGGGGGGGGGGGGGGGGGGGGGTTGAATTGTAAAACTTAAAACAAATGCTTAGACAACACAGTATTTTTATCCTGGTTCGTTTGATCTCAAACTACTCCAGTCCACCCGTCAAGATGATTTCGCCTCTCTCCAACGAGGTCTTAATCCACTATATTCAAAGGATTACAACAACTACTTTAACAACTGTTAAAGCCTTCTTGAGTATAACCACAAACCGGTTTATCTCAAGGAAATATTTTATAGATAATTTGAACAATGATGTGTTAACGTTTTCTAATAAAACAATATATCACAACTGTGATAATTACACAATTTAAGCTTGGAATAAACTGAATTTGCTAAAGCGTTTGAGTAAGCGTGGTTTTGAAAGCTTGGAAAATTATGTGAGTGTATGTGTGCGTCTTTTCTTAAGCAGACTTGTTTATATAGGCAAGGTAATGATACGTTGTCCATAAAGCACTTTTACTGATAATAACGCACTTTCCTTTTGAAGAAGATCTTGTCTGAATAAAGCCGTTAGCTATTAATTCTGTCTTGAATACTTAATAACGCTTCAGAGTCTTCTTTGCTTATGGTAACGCTTCAAAGTGCTGATGACTTGGTAAACATTTTTGATCAGAGTCAGAGTGTATATGTTTATGTGCAGATTCTGGTCATCAAGCTTCAGCGTATGATCTGGTAGCTTCAGCGTGTAGCACATGTTACTGATCTTCTGATGCTTCTAATGCTGATGCTGATTCCATCAGAACTTTTGTATATACAAAACATAATTTTAAGAAGCATATTTGTCTTATATATAAATCTTACAATTTATTTATTCTTTGTATTTTGTTATCATCAAAACTCTAATTAAGGGTTGTAGAATCAAACTTATGTTCTAACACATTATTTGCTGCATGCCAAGCAACATGGATCAAAATGCTACTTGAAGAACTCAGAATAATGGAATCAAAGATGAAGCTGTTTGTTGATAACAAGTCAGCTATAAACCTTGCAAATCATCCAATGTGTCATGGTCTAAGTAAGCACATTGAACGAAGGTATCATTTTCAGAGGGATCAAGTCAACAAAGTGAAGCTTGAAATAAAACATTGCAAGATAGAAGTGCAACTAGCTGACATATTCACCAAACCTATGAAAAAAGTAAGGTTCGAAGAGTTAAAGAAAGACATTGGGATGAGAAGTCTTGATAACATGAATTAGGGGGTGTGTTAGTTGGTTAATTCTTTCTATGTAGTTATTTGGGCTTTTAGCATGTATTTGGGCCTGAGCATTTTTGCCTATATATAGGGCCATTGTTTGTAATCGAAGTAATAATAATAACTGAATTCAGTTAAGAGTTAGTTACACTTAACTAACTCAACTCTCTCTCTCTCTATCTCTCTCTCTCTCTCTCTCTCTCTCTCTCTTCTTCTTCTTCTTCTTCTTCTTCTTCTTCTTCTTCTTGTTTTTCACAATATTCATCTTTCTTGGATCCTTTGTTCCAACAATAACAATAACAACAATGAAATTAACTAATGAAATTCACTATAACATTTTCACAGATACAATCTATGTAACAACAGAAGATAGATATACATTAGACCTTTTAACAAAGAATAAGAATACATAACATAATTTACCAAGAAAGAAAGATATTAATGTTAATTGGATTAAGAGAATCAAGAAAGAAAAAACATTAAAACTACCTCATCACTTGGAACAATTCCCTTAAAGAACAGTAGGTTTGACATCAATTTCCCTTTAAGAACAATTTCCTTCTGAGTGGAAATGCACTAGATCTGAGAGTAATTCCATAGATATATGAGTCTTGACCTGAACAACAAACAAAAATAATAGATCTGAGTATAATTTCAAAAAATCATAAAGAAACATATACCAATCTAGAGAAAATGAAAAATATGTGTGATGGTTTGAGTGACATATGTGGCGAGCATGTCGGAAGCACCACCATTGATGAAAGGGTTGATGGTTGGCTAGAAACCAGAAACAACGACAAGCTTGGGCTTCTTCTCGTCTTCCATTGTTGGAGTTGGTGTGAGATTGAAGAGAGTTTATCGAAGAAAACAAGGAGAACAAGAGAAAGAGATAGCTGAAGAATGAAGAAAATGTTTCAGCCTCTATTTTTTTAATTATAAATTGATGTTTAAGTAATGAAATATTCCTTATCAATAAAAACAATTCTAGGTCAGCAAATTAATACCATATGGAGTACCACGTTTGCCCAACTTAGCAGATTTTGACAAAATTTAATGGAAAGGATTTGCATGACTAACATAATTTGATTTAAGGGACTTAAAACGAATGTTTATTAAATAAGTGACGAATATGAAACTTTTAATTAAGTTAAGGGACTAAAAGATGCATTAAACCCATTAATTCCCAAATTTAACTTCATTCCACACATATTGGGACACATAGATTAAAAAAAAATTTAAAACAAATCACATATAGCCACATGTTCAGGACCAAGAAAAGAATAAAAATTCTGAGGAATTCTTATATGGAAACAATCATAAATCAACATTCTTATAATCAACCAATAAGAATACAAAAAATTTTAAATTTATTTAAATTTTTATTTCTTTTTTAATTGGATTCATCGGGTGGTTGTGATTATGAAAAAGAGACATACTTATTTTTTAATTAATTAAAATTTTGTGATTGGTTGTGTGCAAAACTAATTCTTGTGGTTGTGTCTACCTAAGATTTTTCCTTTAATCTTCCTTTCCTCTCAATCACTATACTTCACTCCCTTTTTCCTTTTATTCTCTATTCCAATGTCTCAACTCTTTTTCTCTTAGGCAATGTTTGGATATGTAAAAAAGAATGGAGCGGAATGGGATGAAACAGAGCGCAATGAAATAAAGAAGTCATTCCATTATTTAGGTACGTCACCATGGAATAAAGTAATTTTGTCATTCTTCCCAAATTGAAGAGTAAAAAAAATGATGGAATGAGATGGAATGTATTCCATTCGATACCACTCCATTCCATCCTTTTTTTTAATCAATCTAAACAGTGGAACATAACTTTATTTCATTCTATTTCGCTCTGTTTCCATCTATCCAAACATACCCTTAAGCACAAACAGAACAACAACATATGAAAATGGAAGAACAAAAACATACTGAATTAGAGCTTGTCGGATCTACAATGGAGCAGCTGCAGGGGAGTTGAAAGTGGGATATCCGGTTTGTTGGGTGCGTTCTGTGTGATGCTGGCGATAAGAAGCATTCGCTGGAGAGTCGCGGCTGACGCGTTCAAGAAGGGAGGGAAACCGATGATGAGATCTGACGGTGCTGCGTGCGAGCGTGGTAGCAACCATTGGTTTCGCATCGGATTCTCAGTGGCTTCGTGCGTACTGTTCCACTTCTTCTATTTTTTCCGCTTTACCTTTTTTTTGTCATTTTGATGTTGTTGTTAATGCAATTTGTTGAGTTTTTATTTCTTGTGGTAAACTTATATTGTTGACTCATTTTGAGACAACGATATTGTTTGAGATTGGTGTTGTGAGTTTCATGGATCATAGTATGGATGATTTGAGTTAGTTGAGGGGATTGGTGGTTTGAAGGAGTTTATGTTTGTATGTTAAGAGTGGTGTTATGGATGTTAGGAAGATGTAGAATTGTATAGTATTGAGGTTTATGATATATTGGTGTAAGGTGAGTTTGTGAAGGTTAGTTTTCGGGGAAAAAAGTTATGGTTGTGAGATTTGGCTTGGAAAAAAAATGATGGAAAGATGGTTATGTTGGATAGATTGGTTTTGATAGAAACTTTGTTTCAAATATGGTGAGGTATTTTGAAGTGCTGAAGACTTGGATGGTTTATTGTACTTGAGGGATCTTGGGGAGAGTATTTTATGAGTGGTAATTTGATGTACAAATTGTGGTTTAAAAGTTTGACTAATGTGTTAAAAATGTGATTTTTTTATGGTGTAAGAAAGGGTGTGTGTAGCAAGTGTGATAAAAACGTGAATGAAGGGTTTTTTAATGAAAAGTTGGATGTTGAATGTGTGTTGAAAAATATGTACAAAGTATGTGTTTCTAGTGTATGAATCGGTTTTCCAATGTGTGAAAATTGTGACAGAAATGTGTCTTATTTATAGTGTCAAAGAAACTAGGTTAAAAGACTAATAAAGAAATAAAATTAAACTTAACTCAAAACTAATTATATAATACCTGAATTAAATCAAATAATATATAATTATTTTTTGGTTAGGAAGTTGAACAATAAAAAATTAGTGTGACAATAACATGACTAAAAGAAAGCGACTATGATAAAAATGAAAACGATTTGACACTAGTGATATTTTTTTACTTTTTTTGATAAAAAAGTGCATAAAATAAATAAATAAAAATTGTTAAAAAATCCATTAATTAAAAAATGAAAATTAATATAAAAATGACACAAAAGTTAATATTTTGACATTTTTTTCAATAAAAGAAGAAAAAAAATGCAAAAAAAAATGCAATGGAGTTTAAATAGGAGTGTAATTGGATCAGAAAACACCAATTAAATCGACATTAAAATCAAACCAAATAAAAAAAACCCGAGTGCTTTTGGTTCGGTTCAAAAACTGAATTAAACTAATTAAAACCGTGGTGGTTTGGTTCTCGGTTTTAATTTTTAGGAACCGCTAAACCGATGAACCAAACCGATGACTATAAATATCTACTTAATCTTTTATTTAACTCATTATTAATCTCAACCTTTGTATCGGTCCAACACGTCTCCATCTTTTTTTACACTTCCTTTCTCTGAACAAAATATGTAGGCAAAATCAAACTCCAAATATAAAAAATAGGAACAATAAGCCATAAAAACTTGCTACTCTGGTTGTCCTCCACCATTATTTCTCTCGCCGCTGTCATTCTTATCAGTTATGGTTGCCTTATTCGGGTTCAAGTTCTCTTAGTTAGTTTTTATCTTTTTATTACCTATTATGTTTCTTCTTCAACAAATTTCCTTCTAGTCTTGTTATAAAATAGTTTTGATGAGTGTTTGAGGTGTGAAGCATGTCAACTTATGTGTATTAAAACCTTTTGTTTTTATTATTGTGCTTTATTTGTTAAGCTTTCAAATCTTTTCCCTACCTTTTGATGTCAAGTGCTTACTTTTGTATTTGATAGTAAACTTATTTCATGACGTATGAAAATTATGTCAATACTTCATATGGATGAAGAACAACCTGTAAGTTGTTTGAAAAGAATAGTATGAAATATATTGATCTTACCGGTTGATCAGAACCTGCAAATGGAACGAAGGATGACGTTTGGTTTGCTGGAAAGTTGAGGAGAAAGGGGGGTCGTACCTGTAAGGCACTCTGATGATCAAGTAAAAATGAGTGAAAATAGATACAAGAAAGATATTAGAGTTTAAAGTTTGAATATTAGATACCCGACTCTCAAAAGTGTGAGGGTTTATATAATGCCCCCGACTCTTGGCCATTGGTCCCTATTTTTGGGCCAAGATATGTGGGTCCGCAAAAATAGGTAATTGACAAGACTTGGCCAAAATGAGAAGTCGTGCTCGTAACTATCCGTTTGTTCTAAGGATATGACAGATTACGGGAAGAGAGGTGTTCTGAATGGTTCCTGGTTGTCTACTCGACTCGTATCGGGTAGACGGAGAGATAGCCGTTGATTTAGGAAGGTTTCTAGCTTGGGAACACTGTCGATCTTGCTGACTCTGCAGAGCAATCTGTCGTACCCCAAATTTGTCCTACCTCGATGATTTTATTTTTCAAGATTTAAATAGAAGAAATATTTAATTAAAGGTGGTACAGTAGTATCCGATGGCCCATCTTTATCCAAGACTAGGGGGGTGTATATTAACCCAAGAAAGCGGGGCTTTCTAAATCAGAAAGACTCATAAACCCATTCACGAAGCATGTTGGCCAATGGCCCATGCGATTCGAAAATGGAAAATTACTTCAAGTAAAGTATTAAGTCCTTAATCCGCAAAGCCAACTTAAATTTAAGTTGTTCTTAGTTATTAAATTAATTAAGCCCATTTAATTTGTTGTTATTAATAAAAGAAGAGGTGAAGATGCATATATATATTAAAACTCAATTTGACCCATTTCTTTTAAATACGCAAACAACGAAAGAGGGTGTGCAATTTACAAGCCCATCAAGTTCTTTATGGCCTATTTGTTGTTTTTGAAAAAAAGAAGTCTTATTATTAAAGAAAAGAAAACTGTTATTGTTATTATTTTAAATAGGAAAAGAAATAATATGTTTTTATGAAAAAAACTGTAACATGTTTCTGTACTATTGATAAACTTGTTTTATTTTGTTATTAAAGATTGTTGTTTATTATTTATATATATAAATAGGATAGTGTCATTGCTGTTATTTATTTATTGCACTTTTATTAGTAAATAACATGTTGCTAATTATAGTTATCAAAAGTTTGGCTGAGGCAATTTTGGGCTACAGAGAAGGCACTTGGGCCTGGTTTTATAAAAGACTTTTTGCTGTAATAAAAAAATTAAGTGTGCTGAGATGTATCAATAACTAAGCGTAAGGCCCAATTTCATTAAAGTGTTGCTGGGCTAAGTAACCAAAATTAGTGCGCAGCCCCAGTGTAGAAACAACAATTGTTTCAATCATCCTAAAATCATGCTGGAACAACTACTGTGGAAATCCAAAGTTATTAAACTAAAAAAAATCAGATCTTTAAAGCAACATAATAAAAATCCAGAAAACCAGCAATAAATAAAATCAAATCTTATTAAATCTGCAAAGCCCAGAAAATCTACTAAAGCGAAAAATTGCAGTAAACAATTGCAAATATGCAGAATTGGTACAAAGGCCCAGAATCTTTATTACAAGAGAAAATCCAAATATTACAGTAAGTCTAAACAATTACAATCAATTTACGAATCAAATCAATCCCTAATCATCTCTAAATCCCTAAATCTATTCTAATCCTAAACAAAATTTCGTAACAACCCTAGAACTAAGACAAGCCCTATAAATACAGAAGAAATTAACAGTAAAAAGAGAACAGAAAAGGAGGGGGAAAATAGTAAAAGAAAGAGCAAATACAGGGGACTGGAAAATCGCTACAGAGATGGAGAGAATTTTTGAAGAACGGTGGAAGAACATAGAAGAGAGAATTTGAAGAACAAAAATACGCAAAGATAATTGGAGATACCAGCGGTTTACTGTTGAAGACGACGAGGGAGAGCAATTAGGGTTTCATCATCTAAAACCCTAATTGCTATGATTATTGCTAATCGCCGGAGTCGCCACCATCGTTGCCCTCCGTGCAAGACATCTTCGAAACTATCATCCGAACCTGCAAAGTCAGAAGAGGGAAAGGGTCAGAAATCTCAAAAAAAAACTCAAGGCAAAGAACGACACCGCGAAAGGGGTAAACATAGATTTTCTTTGTTCTGATTACACATTTGGGGCTTTGATTGGGTTTATGTTGGGGTGATGGTGAAGATAGTTGCGCCGCCGCGAGGATATTAGGGTTACATGGTAGGGTTTGGTGAGACGAAAATGGAAAGGGTTTAAAATGAAAGAGATTATTGTAATGAAAAAACAAAAATGGTTTGTAAATAATGAAAAAATAAAATAAAATATATAATCCGTAGAAATTCCATGCGCGCGCGTACATACTAATTATCATACTCCATTGTTGTCATCTGATAGATCATGATCGGACGGCCGATAGGCCAAGTCCTATGGTAAACTCGTGCGCCCGCGCCACACACAACTCGTTGGATTCCTCCAACTACGTAATGGGCCTAAGCCCAATTACTTTTCACGCCCCCTTTCATCTAATTACTAAACACCAGAACAAATCACACCCCCTGTTTGGACTCATGTTTGGGCCTATCCAAGTTCTGCTTTAGGCACCCCCTTATTTTACTGCATAACTAGAAAACGCACCCCTTGCCTAAATTAATTCTTTTATACATTTCATTATATTTTTATTTTTTTTCTTATTATAATTATTATCAATTTATTTTCCTATTATTATTATTTTTTATATTATATGTAAATATTATTTATTTCTTATTTTTTGAATATATTATTATAACTCCTTATTTCTTTCCATAATTAATTATTATTAATTATTATTAATTATTATTATTAATATATTTTATTTACTATCTAAATATTACTATATTAACATGTAAATTATTTTTATATAAAAATGCATATTATTTTGTTATATTATTTGCATTAAAAATTTTATATCATGCATTAATCAAGAATTTCGCAGTCAATACTATTAAAAAACACGCAACAAATCATCAAACTATTTTTTGCAACAAACTAAGCTAATCAACTGTTTTTGCAAAAGGGCTTCAAATAGAT